ACAGATAGGGCTCGTGTAAATTCAAAATGAGACGCTAATAGATAACTAAATCAGGATACGGTTATTAGCAACTTTTCACTCTGTTACATAAGTTTGTAAATTTCAATAGATTTTATGTTTATTAACTCTTGCTAAACGTTGATTTTTGCTTGGAATTATAAAACACAAACATGATCCCTTTCATTTAGGAATCCAGAAAAACGTATTCCTTTTCAGAATTTAGTACTCTCCATTTTAAATCTTGGATGACATCAAAAATCTACGAATATAACTTTCTTTTGATTGTGTTCTCTGCGTACTATTAATATACGAGACGTGTCTGTAATTCAAGTACCGCTTTGCTCTGCGTCTACCACAGCTGTAGTGTATCGCAGACACACGTATCTCTGGTTGATTTGTTCCATTGTCCTGATCAGAATCATCAGGATTAAAGATTTTCCATTTTCAGATTTGGCGACTAAAAGATTAAGCTGCAACCCTAAAGCGAAAACGCTCATGTTTAATACAAATACAACAAACCAAAAAGGATCTACAATTAAAGCGTGGTTTTTTTTTAAACTATCACTTTTATTATTGCATGTTTTCGTGAGCGTTCAAAATGTTTATGCCGATTGGGAAGTACGTTCTGTAATACGTTTTTTGAACGCAAGGATGGCTAGGCTAGTTCAAATTCGTCTAAACTTGTAGAGATTTACAGTAAAAAATGTTATGAGAGTGATGAAAGGGTGAAAAAATGTATTCGACAATTCAACGATGGGTTAACCAATGTTCATGACAAAGTACGGAGTAGACAACCTTCTGTTGTCAATGACGGTTTGATTGAAGAATTGAATGAGAAAGTTCATGAAAAAAGACGTCCAATATGACGTCCAAAAGATTGTCCAATATGAGGATATTGGCAAGGTTATTGGTAACAAATAAAAAGTTGTCCCAGAATAAAAAATTTCGGAAGCCTGGCATGTCTTTGTGCCCCACGTGACCACTCCCAGGTTAAAAACTGATTCTAATATATCACTTTCAGGAATTTTTGATGATTCATAAAGAATTGAATATCCCTGTGATTCTATAAATTTCTCATTATCTAAAAAATTTTAAATAAGAAATTTTTAAAAATTTAAGAAAGTGAAAAATTAGAAATTTTTCACTTTCTTTTAAAATTTTAAAATTCTCTCCCAACGGTATTACACTACCTTATTAAAAACAAAATCCTGCTCCTTTACGACGTTAACTCAACTATACCAAATCAATTTCGGTATAATAAATAATACTTTACGTGTTTCGTTGCACACACCGAAAAAGTATCTGTTACAATATGGAACTGAACTGTTTTAAGATTCGTAATTCAACTCCTTACTTCCTGTTCGAGTGAATTATTGTCACGGAAATCTGCTTAATCACGAAGACTCACATGAATTACTTCTGAATTGATGGGAAGAGAAGGATGAGGTATTGAGAGAGAGATATCACACACAGTAATCAAAGGGCTTATCGTGGAAATTTACATTTTTTTCTACGAACCAAGGAAAAATCTTGTACTTTCCTTCGCTTGAATACTATTAAATAATATTATACAATGAGAAATAACAGTAGACTAAAGATTGTATAAAAAATTACGCAATTCAAGCATTCTATATTTACTTTTCATCATTATTTTTTTCTAAAATCACCATAGCGGAAACTCGAATGTCGCCAATTTAGTCAGTAGCTTCGAAATGAATTAACAAAAGTTGAAAAAGCTATAGATTTAATGAAAATTTGCTTGTGTAACGAACGCACTAAGTTTCGAATTTCAAATTATAATACTATCTTTTGGGGTAATATTTTATGTAAATACCCTGATTTTTTAGTCGGTATTAAGTGTACTTTAAGTGTTAATTCAGTTTCTACTATTATAGTTCACACTCTCCCTATATATATATATATATATATATATATATATATATATATATATATATATATATATATATATATATATATATATATATATATACAGAGAGAGAGTTTTTTTCCAGGTATAGAAGTTTAAGTTGGCATTACTTTCCAAGATGGCGACCAATTTAACAGCTGTCAAGTGATTTATTCTCAGTTTGGTTCGGCAATTCATCGTGAATAGACTCACGCCTCATAGAGATTCGTTGAATGGGCCCAAAACGAGATTGCCGTTGTTCCCGATTTTCATAAGCGAATTTTGTTTAGCGATGAAGCACACTTCTGGTTCAACGGCGGTGGCCGCGGTAGCCGAGTGGTATAGGTATCGGACCGTGGCTTGCTGTCACAGGTTCGAGCCCAGTACCACTAAAGACCCGCCGTGTAGGGCAGCGATGCACGTTAAATCTGTCGAGAGCTGAAGTGTCGTCCACGTCACTTGACCATGGTTCAAAATTACGTGGTCCGTCGCCAAAAGCCCTCGTGTAGCTGAACAGTGCGACGTTAATATTAAATCAATCAATCTGGTTGAATGGCTACGTCAACAAACAAAACTGCCGCATTTGGAGTGAAGCTAATCCACAAGTGTATGTCGAAACACCGTTACATCCAGAAAAACTGACTGTTTGGTGTGCTTTATGGGCTGGTGGAATCCTTCTTCAAAAACGATGAAGGCCACAACGTTACAGTGAATGGTGATCGGTATAGAGGCATGATGACTAACTTTTTCATTCCTGAATTGAACAATCATGATGTCCAGGAGCTGTGGTTCCAACAAGACGGCGGAACATGTCACACAGCTCGAGCCACAATCCATTTATTGAAAGACACGTTTGGTGACCGCCTAATTTCACGTTTTGGACCTGTGAATTGGCCTCCAAGATCTTGTGATTTAACACCGCTAGACTATTTTCTGTGGGGCTATGTAAAGTCATTGGTCTATGCGGATAAGCCACAAACGCTTGACCATTTGGAAGACAACATTCGCCGTGTTATTGCCAATATACGGCCACAAATGTTGGAAAAATTCATCGAAAATTGGACGTCCAGATTGGACTCCATCCGAGCCAGCCGTGGCAGTCATATGCCAGAAATCATATTTAAAATGTAATGCCACAAGATTATCTTTCGAATAAAAGAAAATTCATGTCAATCGAATAATACATCGTTGTTTTATTGCAATTTAAAGTTCTATACCTCTCAAAAAACACCCTTTATATATATATATATATATATATATATATATATATATATGTATATATATATATATATAATGTATCGCTTAACCCTAAATCGCGGGCCTTATTTAGCGACAGCCTTAGAAATCATAATAGGTCTCTAGTTTGGTCCAAAGACTTTTTGTATCTACATTTGTTGTGTCTTGTGAATTCCATTTTCTTCCTTCTTTAGCACTGTAGGTTCTAGAACTTCTTCACTTTTATTTTATTTTATTTTACTATATATATATATATATATATATATATATATATATATATATATATATATATATATATATATATATACCTTGTTAAAATTTTCAACCGTTAATAAAATACTTCTGAATCATCCACTCTAGCTCAAATACAATTTTTTAAACTTGTAATGGATGATACTTGAGTATAATACAGATTTTTTTCAAATATTAATTCATTAATTAATTATTAATTAATTCTAGTTTAAGTGATATATGTCTCAGTCGCTATTATTCCTCTAGATGGCAGCACCATTGGATAAAAGAGCTTATGTTATATTTGTGATGAAGATTCAACTCAACCTGAATAATCATTTGATACAGATTTGATCAAGAATAATCAATTCTTATCTATTATATTCAATGTTTATTAAAAAATATAATTACAAATTTGATGTGATTAAAAATTGTTTAATGTGAATATTAAAGGTGTTTGGCCACACACACTTAATATTCTGATTCTGTCGTATGTATATACATATTTATATTAATTGTAATTATTTAATAAAAAGTAGTAAAATTTTTACAAATTTTTTGGGCCTAAGTAGGAAAAAATGTTTTACATTATTTGTTTTTAATTTATCACAATTAGCGTGGGTAACTAGCCTCATCGCTAGGTCTTTCATGTTGTCGTTTTGCTATACATTGTATGTCTGATATTAAGCTTTTGAATGCACTCAAACCATTCGTGAATCCCTCACCTCTAGATTTAAAAAGAAAAGAACCAAAACTGAACTATTATTTCCAAAACTGAAATAAATGCAGTGAAATTCCCTTACATGAAACTGAGTTGACTGAAATATTTTTTGTGTGTTAAAAGAATCTCGGGTTAAAAGGATATTGCAAAAAAAAAACCCACACATCAACATAATTAAATTTGAGTTTTTTTTATTCAATTCCTGCTATTAATTCACTCTCTCTCTCATTGATATGTATCGTAAAATCCGGCGTATAACGCGCACTTTGAACACAAAAAATAAGATCGAAACTTAAGAGTGTGCGTTATGTATCGGGTATAAAAACGACAGCTTCAAAAATAACAAAAGAGAGGAACATAAAAATTTTTTTCTTCTGTTTGCATCGAAATATTGTTTATTTAAAAGAAATGTCTTGCTTTATGAACTAAAAGAGATGTAGTTCTCGAAGTATACTATTTTTTTCAAAAATTAGGAATAATACCTCGAATAAATGACTCAAAGCATAATAATATATAATGTTTAATAATAATATATAATGACTCAAAACATAATAATGTATAATAATGTTTCAGATATCTTCGCAAAAAAGGGGGTGCCCGTTATACGGCGAATATTTCTAAAAATGAAAAAATGCAGCTTGAAAGTATGGGTGGGCGTTATACGCCGGATTTTACGGTATAGAAATCTATGATCTTGCTCAAATTTTCAATCGTTAATAAAATACCTTTTATTCATTCACTCAAGTTCAAATACAGTTTTTTAAACTTGTAGTGGGTGACACTTGATGTTAATACAGTTTTTCAAATATTAATTCATTAATAATTAAATTAATGAATAAATAGTAGCTATATAAGTAGCAAAATAATAGTCCAATACTATATATAAAAAGGAAAATTGCTCGTTGTGTCCCTGTAGAGCAATAATAGATAGTGCGTTGGACTTCTAATTCAATGTTCGTGGGCTCAAATCCCTCTTGGGATGGCCTAATTTCTGAGAATGTGACTTATTTTTACAATTATATTTCATTGTAATAATTAAATTTAATGAACGAATAAATAGTGACAAACAAAAATAATAGTCCAACACCCTATATAGAAGGGAAGCTGGAAAATTACTTTCTATTTTACCACTTAATAATGTGATTCTGTCATATGTATATACATATTTATACTAATTGTAATTGTTTAATAAAAAGTAACTAAAATAAAATTTTTCTTTGTTGAGCTAAGTAGGAATTTATTTAGTTATTATTATTTTTTTACATTACAGTAGAATCTGTTTTTGTTCGGTCCTTTTTTATGCGATTTTTTTCTGTGCGACCTTCTTTTATGCTGTATATGAATCTCAACCTCTTTGGGGCCTCTGTAATTTCTTTCTATGTACCAGTGGTGTTAACGGAGAATGTTAAGGTCCCCCTTCAAATTCAGGTTTTGCCTTTAATATTTTATAAATTGGGTAAATACGTACTTGGCGTTAGTCAGGCCTTGGGGACCCCACGAGGGGGGGTTGCGGGGATGTACGTTACTCCACTGTACATATATACACTTCAAGAGGCTCTGTTCATTTGTTATAAACAGTCTTCTGACATGCACGTTCAGTTGCTTTCTCTCAACGCGCCAACAGCCTGCGCTTGATTGAAGACAAAACTTCCAATGGCAGTGACATTATCCATAAATTGACAGATTATGAAGACGGACAAGAAAAACTAGATATTTTTAGAGTGGATAAAATATTGGGTTGTTCGGAAAGTAATTTCGTTTTTTTTTTTTTTTTTGTGGAAATGAAAGACAGTTTTTGTATAATAAACAAATACTTTATTAAATTATATATTGGCCGTTCTGGTCCAACACCTTTTGCCATCTTTCTGGTAATAGCATAATTCCACGCTCATAAAATTTTTGGTCTTTGCTGGCAAAAAACTGATCGAGATGGTTTTTGACCTCCTCATTTGAGGTGAAGGTTTTACCGTCTAAAGAATTTTGGAGTGACTGGAACTAATAATAATCTGATGGTGCCAGGTCTGGAGAATATGATGGGTGTGTATCCCATTGTGTGTCTTGTATCCCATCAAGCTGTAAAAGCTTTTGGCGAGTGACCAAACTTGTGTGAGGTCTCGCGTTGTCTTGGTGAAACACTACACCTTTCCTGTTGATTAGTTCTGACCTTTTCTGTTGAAGTGCATCATTCAGTTTGTCGAGCTGATGGCAGTAAACTTCCGAATTAATCGTTGTGTTATCCGGTAAAAGCTAAAAAAAACCGATTCCTTTAAAATCTCACCAAACAGACAGCATCACCTTTTTTTCGTGAATATCGGCTTTGGAAATGGTTTGAGACGGTTCATCTTTTTTGCTCCATGACCTTTTTCGTCCCCAGTGATGATGCGCTTCAAAAATGGATCATTTTCGTGACGTTTGATAAGCAAATCGCAGATGTCAATTCGGCGACGCAGATTTCTCTCTGTGAGAACATGGGGAACCCATACATCGAGCTTCGAGGATAATTCCAGGCCTTTCAAGTGGTCATAAAATGTTGAACTTGATAAATTTAACCTCAATCCGATCTCACGTGTTGGCTGTTATTCGCCGGTTCGCATCAACTAATGCCTTTATCGCGTCTTTATCAGCTTCAACCGGCCTTCCCGAACGTGGTGCATCTTCGACATCAAAATTGCCGGATCGAAATTTAGCGAACCAGTTCTGCCACTGGCGTACTGTCAACACATCGGTCAATTTCTTTCTGGATTGAACAGCATTTTTACACTTTCTGTAGTAAAACAGTAAGATATGGCGAAAGTGCTGCTTATCGCTCTCCATATTTAAAAGAGCACCAACCAAAAACTACTGCGTAGAATTAATTGGAAATTTTCACACACAAGCCTTGCTATATGAGCTCTCAAAGCATATAAAAATTATGCGTCTTAAATGTGAAGTTGGGTGCAAAAAAATACAATTAAATCCTCTGTCGGGAAAAAATGAAATTACTTTCCGAACAACCCAATATATATTCGAGGATCCAGCTTTCAAACAAATTAGAAAAGCATTTTCTTGAAATAGATACCAATTCCGAAGGTGTGTGAAATTTCAAAAGAGCTTAGATCATGCACATCTGGTTATCATGAAATTTACAAGCAACTGACCAACCGACCGTTATCGCAAAAACTTTTCTCTCTCTCTTTATGGTGCCAAAAAATAAATCAACTGAAATTGTATCTTCAAGTGACGAAAGCGATTTTGAACTTATACATCACAGGAAGATGGCATTTAGGATTACGATGTGTAGCATTGAATGATGCATGTGCATTTTTTTTTTCGAAAACTTCTCCATGTATACAACGAGAAACTAAATGTTTTCAAAATCTTTCCATGTGTAATTTAATTATTTATTTTGTTCTAGAAGTACTTTCTCATTAATTTCGTAAATAATTGGCGTATTTTCAATGCGCTGCTTTTTTATATGGTCTCTCACCACCGCATACAAAAATTGTTATATGCAAAAATTTATGAAATTTTCGAAAAAAATTTTTGTGCGTTTATTTTTATGCGGTCCTTATCTACCGCACAAAAACAGATTTTACTGTACTTGTTTACATGGAATGTTTTTCCTACAATGCTTCATAGAACGTGATCAGAAATCTCGTATAAACTTGATGTTTTGCTCGCAACTATTAGTGCGCAAACTAAGCCAAAACGTTGGTATTTTTTTATAGAACACAAAAAATCGTAATTGAATATCTTTGCTTGCTTTTTTATGAATAATATTTCAATGTGTAGTAATACTTTTTGGACACCTGGTACATTTTGCTCATTCAATTCCGTTTGTAGTATAATAATCTGAAGAGTTCGGGGGGAACTATATTTCAGGCTGTTTTTGGCAAAAGTACGAGAGCCTGGAGCACATTGTCAGACAGAAAAATGTATGAATTTTCATAAAAATTCACAACATTATAACTCATGCATCTGTTAACGATATAGCGTTTCTAAAATTTCAAAATATTTCGTGAATATTATTTTTTCATTTTAACTCGTGAAAGGATAGCTCATTTAACATTACGATATATGAGAAAAACGCGAAACACATTTTATGACAGAAAAAATGGCTCAACTATAATACAAAATCAACTAAAATATGTTGATCTCTAAGGGATAGTGAAGCCAAAATATAATAGTAATTTTTTACTTCTTTTATACCTGAAAAAAGCACCTAATTCGTGTCCTTTTTTCTTTAACATTAACCTAAGGCAGCCTTGAATAAACACAATGTATGTGTAAGTTGTTAAAAAAATATTTAGCAATGAAAACGTATTTTACCTTTTATATATATATACATATTATTTTCAAAAATCAATTTTTTTCCATTTAATATAACATTAAAAATCTAATGAAAATGTGACTAAAAACAGAAAAATTATTCAGAATTTTAAGATTATTGTGAGAACGCCACTATACCTCAAGACCTTTAAACTATTTATTCTTAATTTGTTTTCTTCTTTGACCGTCAATATTTTCTGCTATAAAATAAACCAGAGGTTGCCAAAGTGGTGGTCCGCGAGAAAATTTCGCTATTCCCGCAAAAAATGTGGAATATATTTATTCATCACGTTAAGTTATGTTTTAAGATGCATTGAAACACAATTCAATAGATAACAATACGTGAAGAGTTATAAAAACGCTACTTCATGTAATAACGCCACGGTAAATAAGTCGTACTGCTGTAACTGTATTGTTTTAGCTACATATTTTGTCTCTCTTTTAATCTTTCACTATCTTGTATGTCGCATATGTATACCAGTTAAAGCATTTAAAGGTGGGCTTATGGACGTATTGAGTTCAATATAAAATATATTTAATATATTAGTTGGGTTATTAAGGAAGTTTTTGTGTATTTTATGTATTGGGATATGCAAAGATGGAGCCACAAACATGCCAGGGCATCTTTCAGGAATTATAACAAAGGTGAAGAATGTTGGTCAGCCTGACATTTTATCTACTCACTGCATTATACATCGAGAACAATTTGCAGCGAAAAAAATATCCCCAGTACTATACAAAGTATTATCAAATGTCATTGAAGTGATAATGGAAATTCGACACAAATCACTCAATTCTTGAATATTTGAGGCACTTTGTGAAGAAATGGATTCCGAGTATACTCATCTTCTTCATCACGCTAAAGTCAGATGGCTGTTGAGGGGCAAAATACTGCCCCGACTATTCGCCTTGCGGGAAAAAGTCAAATTATTTTTCCAGAAACAAAATAACCTGAACTTGACAAATTTTTGTCCAACAATTAATGGACAAAAAGCTTGCATACCTTGTGATACCCCCTGCCCGGGGTATCATCTCTTCATCCACGCGACCTAGATTTGTATGGATAAATGATTGACCACTCGAACTTTCCATAATAAATCCAGTTTATTATGATCTCAATATATATTAAGAAATGCAACACAAGTCTTACTAGGAAAATCAGATCAGAAATGATACGACGTAATTATTAATACTAAGTTAAATTAGCGCCTGAAATCCTACTCCTTAACTTTGTGATAAATTAACCTCCGAATCTTTATCTATAGCAGATTTCTTAACTAGCTATAGTTTGCTCTATAATTAAACTTTAATTATCCATCTCTTACCGATATCACACGGCGATCAGTAACCAATCTTTATATCCCCCTCTTGTATTCAATTCCTTTAATATTAATCTTCTACATATATATATTATCTGACTTGATCCAACTTCTATACAACTTTCTGGATTCTAACCGACTTCTATATGGATCCTATAATACTTTCCGGCCTCCAGCCGACTTATTCGTGAATGCAAATCTCCAATATATACACTATCTGGCCAAAAGTAACCGGACACCCCTTAAAAAAGTGGTTCTGGCGAGTGACGCAATTTGATACTTAATTGGAAGCTATTAAAGTGTTGGCAGTGGCTTGTCAGATTGTATTTATGCGTTTGTGAGGCAATGAGTAAGT